GGTTAATTTTATGTCAACTTGGCTAGGCGATGGTACTCGTTTTGGTCCAACACCAGCCTAGAAACCCAATTCTGGCATTTCAGAAAAAAGTCAAATCTAAACAGATTAGAAGAAATCAATCTGCTTTTAAATCAGGACTCTAAAGCAGAATACTCCCCATAATGTGGGTGAGCTTCATCCATCAGCTGAAGGCCTTACTAGAACAGATGAGGTCCCCAAGGAAGAAAGGAATTTTATCTCCAGATGCCTTCTGACCCAGACTGCAACATCAACTCTACTCAGGAATTCTGCAGATTTCAGACTTGCTAGTCAACAATAATATGAGCCAATTTCTTAAAATCAGTCTTTCTCTATGTATGTATACACAGATTGTATTGATTCTGTTTTTCTAAGAACTCTAATACAACATGATTGTATGCTGTAACTTCTGAAAATTTCTATGTATAATCTCACATTAAATTTCTATGTATAATCTCTGGGTCAAAATAAATAATTGATTTAAAATTTTTATTTAAGAAATAGAGCCCTGGCTGGGTAGTTTAGTTGGTTAGAGTGTTGTCCCAATATGCCAAGCTGGTGGGTTCTATCCCTGGTCAGGGCACATAAAAGAAGCAACTAATGAATGCATAAGTAAGTGGAACAAATCAATGTCTGTCTGTCTCTCTCTCTCCCCTAAAATCAATCAATCGAAAAAAAAAATAGTCATGATAGCTAAGAGCATGAAATTAATGTTTTGAAATTATTATTTCCAATGCAAAGAAGCCAAAAAACAAACAAACAAAAAACCCAAACAACTTCCTCCAAAAACCCAAATCTCTCTCTTTTAACAGGTAACTGATAAATGATAGCTAAAATCAACTTGAAATACCCCACAGGTCCAATGGTTACCCAGAATCTGCCTCCTCTTCCTCTCCAGTGTTATACTTCAATTGTAATTACATGCTCAAACCAAGAAGTTGAGCTTGAGACAAAAAAAGTATATAGCTGACAAAGTCAGAGACAGCAAAAAATATGCTTTCCAAGTACAAGTAATGCAAGAAATGACAAGTGAAGTGAAGGAGAGATTTCAAAGCTTGAAAAACAGTCATCAATACTGACAGATTACTGTAATTCTAGCTGCTAGCAAGATCGATTTGGGCAGCATTTGACAATCAATATTGTCCTCATTTAGTGAACAACATTAGATTCATAGTTACAGAAGATGTTCCAAGGATAAAATTTAAACTGTATTTAATGATCATAAATAGCACAATTTATGCTGTGGAATCTTAGTGGGTACTTTTATTGGGCATAAAATAAGTGACACAGCAGTGTAATTATCAAATATAATTGAGTTTATTACATATTATTTTACCCCTTCACTTCTATTATGAGGATTAAAGTAGTAACTCTGGTGATTTTGAAAGCCTACTTCTATCTCAATTTCTAAGTTTTATTGATCTGTTTTAGATCACATAATATTTTTTCCTTATCCAGATTTGTCAAAAACATACATTTTAAAATTTAATATATTTCTGAAATATTTGTTATTTTAAATTAAAAGACATATTCATATTTCAATATCTTAAAATAAAACATCACTGTAATTTATTATGTAAATTTTCACTTAAAAATCAAGTAATTCACTTGTATCAAGTCTTTCCTCCCAATGTTTAAAATTAATATAGAATTTTGTGAATCTTTGTCAAATATGACTATGTGTTCTTCAGATTAGCAAAGGCTAGGAGTATCTCTACTATTTACTTTAATAGCATGGGAAAATAATTTCCATAAAGCTTCTAAATTCAAGCTTCCAAGTCAAGAAAAATTTGATCTGTCTTATTTAATGTTTTTACTCTGTTCAAGAATCAATTTTGCTGATAGAAATTGCTCATATTTGCTGTGTAAATAAAGTGTTCATGTTTACTGTTTTCATCTGAAATTATCTCTCTTCATCTTAGATTTTCCTCCAATGTGGTATCTATTAACGTCTCAGCAAGATTTAACTATTACGAACTTCTCTAAGCAGACTTGAAAATCCAATCCGATCAATTAACCTACCAACCAAGCAAACACAAAAACCCAATTAGGCAATTCCATGGTGTTGGGAAGAGTTGTTTTATATTGACTGTAATCTTTACACATAACAGAATTAATCACTGCACACAAAAATGTACCTTATTTTATTTACTGAGTACATCCAAATTCATTATCTCATTTAATCTTCACAACAATTCTGAGATGGGTATTAGCATGTTTTTTACAGAAGAAAAAAGTGAGGTTTAGAGGTTCTGTGACTTCGCCAAGGTCACAAAGCAGAGCTTCAATTAAAAGCAGTGTTTTCTAACTGCAAATCTAGTTATCAGACCTCTACTGTAATGTGCAAATCTGAAATAGCTCTCAAGAGTATGAACTTAGGTGCAGGAAAAGAAATGAAGCCATATCCCCAACACTTTTAATTTTGCATTTAAAACTACTTTGTAAAGTGTGCATATTAAATGTTACTTGTACCTTGGGCCAGAAATAGTGTGTGTTTGCCCAATAAATCCAGTTCCTGCTATATAATACAAGAGGCAAATAGAGTTTGTATTACAATCTAATCTCTCTCTTACCACTTTCCCAAAAGATTTAAGGCATTCTTTCCACCATCTTATTTTATTTTATTTTTTTAAATATATATTTTATTGATTTTTTACAGACAGGAAGGGAGAGGGATTGAGAGTTAGAAACATTGAAGAGAGAGAAACATCGATCAGCTGCCTCCTGCACAGTCCCCCTACTGGGGATGTGCCCGCAACCAAGGTACATGCCCTTGACGGGAATCGAACCTGGGACCCTTGAGTCCGCAGGCCGACGCTCTATCCACTGAGCCAAACTGGTTAGGGCTCCACTATCTTTTTTAAAAAATATGTTTTTATTTTTTTTAGAGAGAGGAAGGGAGAGGGAGAGAGAGAAACATTGATGTGGAAAAGAAACATCGATTGGCTGTCTTCCACAAGCCCCCTACTGGGGATTGAGCCCACAACCCAGGCAGGTGCACTGAACGGGAATTGAACCGGGGTCAAGGGCACATACCTCGGTTGCAGGCTCCTCCCCGGTAAATGGGACGATGCTCAACCAACTGAGCCACATTGGTCAGGGCTCAACTGTGTTTTAAATAAAACGGAAGAGGACACTAACCTCAGGATGAACATCAGAATCAGGCGGGCTATAAAGAAGCAAAGGTCAGAAAGAAGACAACCTCAATGGACCTGACAATGTGGAGAAATTAGTTAACGGGTAATAATCTGTATATTCCTTGTAAGATTAATTACTTTTGTAGAGCTATGCCGGGAATAATAAACCGAACTCTTATATTTCACTATAATAACCACTTCAAATCTGAGTTTTCAACTTAAAGTGAAGCTCTAACTGCCATACCAGGTAAATAAGAAATGCTATATAAATGTCATTAATGTTAATCAATGTAACATGGCATGATCCACCTATAATTCCATTTCATGGTGTCAGAATACATGAGAAATTACATAAAATTCAGATAATGTAAGCTAATTTTCATCAAAAGAAGAAAATGCGGCAGACTTGTAATAAATCCATTTCATATGGAAAAAAACATAGTATATATATTTTTAATTCTTATCTGAGGATATTTTTTTAGTGATTTTTAGAGAGAGTTGAAGAGAGAGGGAAAGACAGAGAGAAATATTGATGTGAGAGAAACACATCATTAGTGGCCTCCTGCACAAGCCCCGACCAGAGCCCTAACCAGAGCCCAGGCCGAGGAGGAGCCTGCAACCGAGGTACGTACCCTTGACCAAAATCAAACCTCGACCCTTTGGTCTGCAGGCTGATGCTCTATCCACTGAGCCAAACCAGCTAAGGCTAGAATATTTTTAAAAACCTTCCCTGTAAAGCTTAAATCCATAATCCTATATAATAAAAGGATAATATGCAAATTGTCACCTCGACCAGGAGTTCAACCAGTGTTTGACCAGGGGGTGGGGCCAGCCGGCCAACCGTGCATGCGGCCCCTCCCCACCGCCAGCCCACACCTGATTGGCCCCCTACACCCCTCCCCCCAACTGGCCTGGCCTGGTTGGCTCCCGATCAGGGCAGGCCGGCTGGACCCCACCCGTGCACAAATTCATGCACCAGCCTCTAGTTTATTATATAAAAAGAAATAAAATGCTTTTAATCATATAGGAAAAGTAAAAGAAAACATAAACCTATTTTACAAAGGAATATCAGAAAACAATTTAAAATTTAGAACTGTGTGCATATCGTGTCCCAGGCACTGTTCTAAGAGCTTTACACATATTGCTTCATTGAGTTCTCATAATACCATGAGCTAGATATTATCATTCTCATTTTATATACATGAAAAATTAAGACTGACTGAGATTGAATAACTTGTCCAAGACTAGCTATATAGCATTTGAGGCCAGGCAATCTGGCTCCAGTAACCATATTCTTAAACACTCAATTTCCTCGCAAACTTCCATGTCTCTCTGTTGTTCCCTCTGCTTCTGGAATGCTCTTGATCTCACCCACCCAAAAAACTCAATCATCCTTCAAGATTGGTTCAATCCTCATATTTCTCAGAAATGTTTCCTGATACCACAACCCCTTTCAGCTAAATAAGAGGCCCCTTGTTATGATACTTCCAGAATATGCTGCATAACTACTATAGCACATATACTGAAAACAGTATATTTCTTTAACTAGATTGAGTACTTCCCGATGACTGTTTTGGTTATTTCTGCACATCCAGAGTAGCAGAGTGCCTAGCACATAATGGGGCTCTAATTAATTAACCAAAAGGCAATTAAGCACTGATTTAAAAATATATAAAATAAATTACCCCATTCAACTATCGTAAGTGCTCAAATTCAAATACTGGGGAGGAACTCTACCACCTATATATCAGTAAACAGAAATTCAAAGGTCTTAAAAACAGAAGAAACATTTACCTTGGAAAGTAGACAAATATTAGAATAAAAACCATATATTAAAAAGGATACAAGTTTTGATACAGTGGAATCAGTGATTTCAGAGCACGGCTTGCATTTATAGCTGTTGCTCGAACCATAATGGGCAGGACCTTTCCATTCACAATAGCACCATCAAAAAGTGGGCCAAAGAAGGGAACCTAATTGAAAAATTAGAACATAATTTTATACTAAAATTGAAGAAAGGTTTATGTAAGAACAATCAAGACACTGCATACAACAATGTTTCTGCTTTCCCTTTAGTTCTTTCTTCAGTAGAAATACTATTCAAATTCATTTATTTTCCATGATGGGTCATTCACACTAGAACAATAAACAAGAAATGCAAAAGGTCTACATGGTTTCATTCAAAAGAACTGTGTACTTGATGTAACAGACTAAAAAATTTATATTCCCTGCCAACTTTCAAATTTTTGTAGCCTCAATTGTACCAAAAAATTCAACACTGGAAATAAATTCCTCTTTCTCCATTAGTAAACACAGGCAAGGTATACATTCTTATAGGCAGCAAGTTAATTTTTTAAAAATTATTTTTGTGTGATACCCAGCTTTATTACAAAACCTGAAACATTTCTATTACAGAATTTCTTAGAAAAATCTTTGTTTTGATAATTGTCATTTTTATCACATGACTGACAATTTCAAGTTATTCTGTTTGACTATGGTTGGTACAAATGGCAGCTGAAGGCAAGCACATGAGCTGTGAATAATACAGTAAATATTTTAAGCTTATGGCCTCATATTGTCTCTGCTGCATATTATTTTTCAGTTTAAAAAAACACACATGAAAATGTAGAAAACATCCTTAGCTTGTGGGCTATACAAAAATAGAAAGTGGGCCATAGTTTGCTGACCTTTGGTTTAGATGAACCTTATAAAATCTGGCCATAAGCTTAAATTCACACATAGGGAACTTAACTAAAGGAATTCTTAAGATTCATGATCAAATGTCAAAAAGTAAGTTTTCTATAAACTAAAAGTATTAAATTAAAAAAGTAAGAAACATGAAAATACTACCAAACATTTATTATTTTGAAGGAAAATACTTACACAGGTATGTTTCAATCCCACAGTATAACACATCCAACTAGAACAACTTACTTGGCTTTAAAAAACACACTTTTTAGAACACATAGTTTTAGTACTCTAACTTATTAAGTGACATAACTAAATAATCACATAATCTTAACAAGATATATCAACTAAAATATAGGAATCATATGTTCTAGTTATAAAGGAAATTATTACTTCTGACTGTGTCTTTTAGGAAATAGTAATCATTCTTTCAATAAAAGGTAAGCCCTTTTGTGAGCTTAGCATAAAAGAACTTGCACTCTGGCACTACCAAGCTTTCTCCCTTTTGAACATAGTTTCTTGCTACTTTTCCTGTCTTAGCTCCTTCTGAACCAGACTAAGACAATTCACATAGCTACCAGAGTTTGTCTCATTTCCCACCATTTTCACAACTTGATGTCTAGTCTAAATCCTTCTGAAAGAAGAAACAAAGCCATATAGAACTCAAAATATATTACTAAAATGTAAGATAAGAAGTTCTCACCTCTGGTTTTTTCATTATCTGGATACTGAACATGTGATTTTTCATTGGATATATTACAATAAGGACATCACCAAATTCTGTAGGAATAATTCCTCTTCTGTAGTCTCGAGTATGCTCTGACCAAACAATGTGTACTTCATCATTTCCTAAATGTCTCAACTAGAAAACCAAGAAAATAGTTCAGAGTGCTTTAGAAAAGCTCTGTATTTATATAACTACTGTTAACATACTATAAAAAGATGAAAAGGTAAATAAATAACAAACCATATTTTAAAAATTTCATTTGACCATTTTTTTACAACACATGAAACACAAACATTCAAAGACATCAGGTGACACTACAGAAAACCAGACAGTTTTTAATGATCTATAGTTAATGGGAAACAGAGAAATTAGATAAAAAAAGATTCATATACATCCCCAATACTCTCCTTAACTAGCAATTGCACCAATTCTCCACTACCAAACTTTTTAAAAGATCGTTTAAAAGATTGTTTTTAAAGTGATTGATTTAGCCCAGCTGGCTTGGCTCAGTGGTTGAGCATCAACCTATGAACCAGGTCACAGTTCCATTCCTATTCTGGGCACATGTCTGTGTTGCGGATTCGTTCCCCAGTAGGGGGCGTGCAGGCGGCAGCTGATCAATGATTCTCTCATTGATGTTTTTATGGCTCTCTCTCCCTCTCCCTTTCTCTCTGAAATCAATAAAAATTAAAATAAAATAAAAAGTGACTAAGATTCTTTTTTTTTAAAATCATTCTCTGGAAGTGCTAATAGGCAGTGAACTGGTCTAAAAGAGGTAACAGGAAGAGAAGTAAAAGAAATAGATCATTCATAAATTGGGTAATCACCTATTAAGTATGAAAAAGTTGACTATATCTGGTTTAACAAATTTATTTTCAGGTTTTCTTTGTCTATGAAACTATGCCTATGAAATTCATCCAAATAGACTTCTTTAGAGTTGGTAGACTCTCAATATGTTATTTAAATATTTGTGATGCTTACTAAGATGTTTTTGGCAATCAGAGAGAGATCATTGTTATTAACTTAATTAGGGTACTCCTAAGGCTTAGGAAGAGCCACACTCAAGGGGCCAAAGAGCCACATGTGGCTTGCGAGCCGCAGTTTGCCAACCACTGGTCTAGGCCATGGGGACAGAAGTGGTCAGTAGGCTGTCTGAGACTGCTGCTGGCAGTAGCCACCCCAGTGCACGTAGCCTTTGTTTTTGCAGTAGCCATCCTTCTGGCCTCGGAAGTAGCTACCACAGGTACCCTGCTTGTGGTCAAACTCCACTCATTGTTTTCTACAAGGCTGCTCAGCTTCTCCGCCAGCTTATAGAGCCAGGTCATGTTGGGCACTGGGCTCCGTGTTGGCTGGTTCAAGGAGGCCATCAACTCTTCATTAATAATCATCTTGCTAGTGATGGCGTGCACAGTGGGCAGGTTCAGCCTAACCAGTGTCTCCATGCTGATGTAGTCATAGAAACTGCTGTAGGTAAAGCAGGTCTGCAGTGACTCTTCCTGGATCTTCCTAACCAGTATGATTCAGACTTTGTTGGCCTCAAAGACAAGGTCCCCATACTTTGGGGACCTTATCTTCTCATTGAAGGTCTTCCAGTCGCCCATCTTCATTGATTCAGGGGGATCCAGGAAGGGCTGTCATTGGCCCACTCGCAGATGGTAATGGAACTGCTTGCTGATCATATGTTGGTGGGCATCACTCTGTTGGGCGGCCATGTAGGGGATCTCCAGGAGCATGGCAGACACCACGTAAACACACTCCAGCAGCTCCAGGTTGATGTGCAGGTGGAAGGGCACCTGCCACTCCACCTTCTCCCGCTCCTGGCTGGGCTCCTTTAGGCGGTGTAGTAGAGACCCTGGCCAAGAAGTTTCTGGGCCTGACTCCTTGACTGGATGTCCAGCAGGGCACTGTGAGCATCATTGGACAGTCCTTGGTGGAAGGCACAGATGCACAGCTGTACCATGGTGCGGTTTTACAGGATCTGTACTGGACGGACTGTGTGCTGTCTTTTTTTGTTGTTGTTTTTTAACTTTTTGTGAATGCTGTCTTGTAGGTGTCTCATAGCATGAGGTCGTGGACCTGGTACCAGTGGGAGATATGGCAGAGGATGGCGCACGTGCAGTCTGTGCAGTTTTTGGCATAGATGTACTTGCAAAGTCTCTCCATTAGCACAGCTGAGTCCTTGCCCTCATTTTTTGCTTGATCTTGGTTGGACTTTGAGGAGCCCTTAGGGAAGGTAAGCTGCTGCTGATGGGCCTTATAATTAAACTTGCAGACGGTGTGCAGAATGCACCTCAAGCAGACATGACAGATCTCCTCAGTGGTGCCCTTCTCTTCCAGGTAGCACTGCACAAGCTCAATGATTGGAATATACCTGTGCCTCATCCTTCAGGTGCTCCACATACTCTTTGGAATGAGGATCAGTATTTTGCATTATTTTGGTAAATTCTTCACCCATTCATTCCACCAGAGTTAGGATACAGCCATAAACACGCAGTGGCTGGTCAACATTATGTGGCTTTTCACTCTCTTCCAGAATGTTCTCTTCAACAAAGATGGTTTTGCAAACAGGATGTCCATCAGCTCATTGATGCAGTCCAGGCTTCATGTATGTGGCCAGGTTGGCGTTGTAGTCATAGAGAGAACTTGATTTTGATGATGACATCCTCCCCAAGGTTATTTTCAGAAGCAATCTGAACCAGTAGCTGTAGCAGCTCAATCTGGGTTGCACAATCAGTTCCCTTCTTGCCTTGTACCTGAAGGATCTCATTCAGTTTCTTGATAACAACAGTGTGGATGGATGATCTCAGTTCCTCTGGCAAACATTTTTGGTTTCTCCTTAATGAGCACACTCCATCTCGGACCCTTTCCCACTCCCCACATTCATTGTCCTCCTCCTCATCCAGGTGCTTTGATTTCCTATCGTGCTGCTTCTTGGCTTTGTCCTCCCATTTCTTCTCAGTAGCCCTCTTGTCCTCCTCTGTGGCCGTTTTAAGGAATCTTGAGGCCAACATGGTCTGTTTCCCTTCCTCCTCCTCCTCCTCTGAGTCAGAAGACGTTGAACCTGTGTCCCACCCTTCATCCTCTTGAGTCCTCATCTTTATCCTCCATCTTTTTTAGAAACTTTGACTCTCTCCAGAAGGAGCTTCTGGTTTCTTCTTCAAGAAAGCTGCAGCACTGACTCTGTCTTCATCCCTATCTAAAGAGCCTTTTGAATCCTTTCTTCTCAGCATCTTCATCTGCAGACTGTTCAGGGTTCTGCTTATAATTTGTAATAAGGGACTCAAAATCTTAGTGTGTTTTTGGATCCTCTGGAGCAGGGTGCTCAAGGCCTTAGCATTGTTCTTATTCATCTCCTTCTTCACTTCCTTCTTTCCATAACTCATTAATATAGTCTCTTAAATCAGCCAGGATACGGATATAGAACTGGGGACACCTTTCTTATCCACAATGCTTTTAGCCTTCCCATATGCTTTTGCCAGGAGCTCAAACTCTTCCAGGCACTTAGTGACATCCTGAATCTTCATGGCATTACCAAGGGTCTGATAAGGTTGGTCAACTCCTCAAACCTGTAGTCCTGGGCACTTCGAACCACTCTCTTGATATCTTCTTCGTCTTCACTCAGCAACAATGGCTGTTTGTGGTAGTTACGCCTGACAGGTTTGGTGACAAGCTCCTCCCTGAACAGGGACAACTGATGCTGAAAAACTGTGATATGGCAGATCAGCTGAGCCTACGAGTCACACCACAGAACTCTAATTGTTCTTAAAGTCCCCAATACTAATCTATCTAGAAAATCCTAATCACTATGGATGTTAAGTATTTGAGAATACAAGGTAAATTCCTGAACTTTAAAATTTGTATTACTAAACAAGAAATGTCTTCTCAGATACTTTGATGGATTATAAGATATAGGCAGCTATTATTATTCTAAAAATAATAACCAGCTAAATCTAGACACCAGAATCTATTTTAGAAATATAGTATAAATATTTTTTCTTTTAAGGAGGACTATTTTTTTTATAGGTTTAAGTGGATTAAATAACTTTTTTTTTAAATTTTGGAAACCATAAATGTGCTTATTACTCTAACTAAATGACGGTAGACCTCAAATATCAAAATATTGTATAAGTTTTAATTCCCATTATTTATATCACACACAGACTTGAATGATATACTAGTAAATGTAGGACTTAGGCTTTGTGACATATTTAAAAACCAAAAAAGATTACACAACTCAAAAGCCATGGCTCTATAATTTCATTTTTTAATCAAAATACTTTAAAAATATCCTTCCTATACAGCCATCCCCACGTGTCAGTTTTCCTAATAGGTTTATGTTAACTGAATACAAAAGAAATGTGAAATAAATTTAACCAGGAGGGATGATCCAATCTAATTTTGATACATTAATGTCATATGCTGTACATGTTACAATAGCAGCCAGATCTAATACTAAGCTCCAGGCTATACTGAGATTTCCAAATGGCAGATTGTTCTAAGTGATATCAAGTATAATTGAAGTAATAAACGATAGCAAAAGCTGAGCACACTGTCAGGAAGAATTTAAGTATTTACTTTTTAAAATTAAGTGAGTTAGGTTAGGAAAGACAAGACAACTGAAATAATGCAGGTCTCAATTTACAGAAAATTCCTTTTATTTATCTGCTACATTAACCCTTGAACTCTTGCCAAAGCTATCTATAATTTCTACTGTTCACTTATCTAAAGAAATGAGAGAAAAGGGCAACTGTAGTTTTATCTTATAACCAAGGCTTCCCTTCAAATATCTACTACAGAGTATTAAAAGTCTGTTTAATGGAAAAGAACAATACATTTTTACCAAGATGTTGTAATGAAGATATTTGTGGTCCAGAACCATGTGTATAACAAAGTTATTCTAAACATGTTCAAGCAATTTAAGGGAAAGCTTCAAGAATATCCCTTATGATTTATATTCAAATGCTAAAAAAGTAATTATTTTATTCTGTCATGACAAGGCATGCTTTTATATCTATATATAGAATAATCCTACTATATAATAAACACAAATTGAGAAATTACTAATCATTGTTATATATCTTAGAAATTTCTGAAAAGACTACTAAAAAAATCAATTTTGAGTGCTTAACAGTTAA